GTGAAAGGCTACATTGGACAGGTCATGATATGAGGCAGCGAGCAATGGCAGCCTAGGGTTTTGTAGAAGCCTTGGAGAAGCCTCAAAGCGCCCTGATCGAACCCGCCCCTGAAAGAACCTGATCGAAACCGTAATCGAAATCTTAAATGCACGTCTAGAAGTAAACCCTGAACCCTAAACCCTAAACCTTTATGGAACCCCGTAACAAACCATAAGCCCCCACGGTTTTGGAAGTTTGCTTCGCAGGCGAAGTTCGCCTACACCACTGGCCGGGAGATGCTAAATGCTGCTGCAGCTCTGCGAGTCTCGGATGGTTTAAGGTTTAGGGTTTAGGAGCCACGGTTTAGGGCTTAGGGTTTAGACGGTCTCGGCCATGTCAGACCGCATGATTCGGGGCATACAGGGTTTAGGGTTTAATATAGGGTCCTTAATAATTTACAATAGGGTTTGGGGGGGTATATTATACTATAATTGTAACAAGGAGCCCCCAAAGCCCTGTTCTATTTATAAATTATTAAGGCCCCTACATTTGGGCATCGGCCATGTCAGACCTCATGATTCGGGGCATACCGGGTTTAGGGTTTGAGCCTACTTTTAAATTACCATAACCTACAATTAAACTTAGTTATCCAATACCCAACCTTTAAACTTTTTGGGCCCTGAGAGTAGGGTAGCAACCTGAAAGCTTAACCTTTTATTTTCCTTGCCAATTGGGGAAGTAAGAAAATCTGTTGTTGGTGGTTGTAAGCCCAGAATAAGGAGTTTTACATGGAGCCTATTGACGATCATGTCGTCCTCACCCTAAGCCCTAAACCCTAAACCCTAAACCCCAAACCCTAAACCCCAAACCCTAAACCCTAAACCCCGAACCCTAAACCCTAAACCCTAAACCATAACCCCACATCCGCACATGATTCGCCTGGGGAGTCCGAGCACGACCGCTGAAATCCTAGTGCCCGCAACGCGCAACGGCCGCAACACCAAAAGTCTTCAAGCCCTAGTAACCGTTCTGAACCCGAAACCCTAAAACCCTAAACCCAAAGCCCCTAAACCCAAAAACCCTAAACCCTAAACCCTGAACCCCTAAAGCCCTAAACCGAAAGCCCCTAAAGCCCCAAACCCTAAAGCCCTAAACCCAAAGCCCCTAAAGCCCTAAACCCTAAAACCCTAAAACCCTAAACCCTAAGCCCCTAAACCCCAAAACCGTCAACCCTAAACCCTAAGACCCTAAACCCTAAAACCCTAAATCCAAAGCCCCTAACTCTAAACCCTAAACCCTAAAACCCTAAACCCAAAGCCCCTAAACCCAAAAGCCCTAAACCCTGAAACCCCTGAAACCCCTAAACCCCTAAAACCGTAAACCCTAAACCCAAAGCCCCTAGACCCCTAAACCTTAAACCCCTAAAACCGTAAACCCTAAACCCAAAGCCCCTAAAGCCCTAAAACCCTAAAGCCCTAAGCCCAAAGCCCCTAAAGCCCTAAACCCCTAGACCCCTAAACCGTCAACCCTAAACCCTAAGACCCTAAACCCTAAAACCCTAAATCCAAAGCCCCTAACTCTAAACCCTAAACCCTAAAACCCTAAACCCAAAGCCCCTAAAGCCCTAAAGCCCTAAAACCCTAAACCCCAAAACCCTAAACGCTAGTGCTTCAACCTCGCCCACTCCGAAAGACCAGGGCGCGAACCTTGTGCAGCATGTTCAGCTCCCCGAAGCGG